TGTATTTCCAGTTCCTATCTGTACCAGTGTACATCCTCTGGTCTAGCCAGACTTGCTAGGTAGAATTCGGATCATGATAGTGGGAGCAGGGAGGAAACATTTAGGAACTAGAGGAAAGTTGCATTCTTCGTCAGACACTGTTTTCATAGATGGCACAGGAAGAAAAGTGTCCCCTAGTCCCCTATTCATGGGACCGTGCTTTCTTGGGACCCTATGAGCAACTTAGAAATGCTTTATTGCCTGCATTTCCTCTGAGGCACTCAAAAGGAATTTGATTGTTACCATCCACCTCCTCTAGTTAGTGGTCTTTAACCAGTCCACACCACAGTACTTTCCAAGCAGTGGCTTTTCAATTTATTTGACTAGGACATCAAGGTGGGAATGTGTATTACAAGAACAATCACATGTATAACCCACCCATTCTGTTCTTAGATAGTTTCTTTTTTGTTTACTGACATGATAGTCTTGACCCACTGCATTGACTTAACCTCCCACCACTCGGCCCAAAACGCTGCTCTGTATTAGTGCTTCGCACTTTCCCCCGGAGCCTGCTTTCGCACCCTCCCGGGGACGCCTGTCTGACCGCCATTCAGAGCCTTGCCTGACGGACTTTAAGGACATTCAAGAGACGCTCATTCTGTGATGCAAAGCCTTATAATTTCCAACTTTGGGGAGCTGTAAATATCCACTGTAATTTGTTGGTGTTCCAAGATAACTATACTTATTTTTTTCCTGTCTTTAGGACTGAAGTTAGTTAAAATTGTCCTCGGAGGTCTTTAGGATTTTAGTGTAGCTCCTTGAGATGAAGGCATGTTCCTTCCCTATTTTTATACTAACAAGAGGTTGTGTGCCAGTGCACCCTACCTATCACCCTCGGTGAGTGGACTTTCCTAACAAGGGATTGAACTGCAAGTGGAAACATAATATGACTTTTTAAATACATATATATTTAAAACTAAATATAGCTTAGAGTCAGCATCAACTCAGTGGTAGTGAATTTGAGTTTTGTGTTTTGTTTCAAGCTACAGCCTCTTGCCCGCCCTTTCACCCTGATAGCTGAGATTCTCGCTCCTAAGTTCTAGCCCCATCCACCCATGGCTGACTCCCGTTAGACCCAAAACCCGCTCCAAGGGGCCTTCTTCCATCCCCACGACTGTTTCACGTATCGTGGATCCATGTCTCCACAAGAGTTTTGTAGTTTTGTAACTATTTGCTTGCCTGCCAACGGGTAAACCCATTATTTTTAGGACCGATTTTTTTCCTTCATAATTCTATGTATACTCTACAGTTCAAAGTAGCCCAGGTTAACTAAGCAGATAGAAGAGGGACTGTACTGAAAAGACAAACTTTCACGCAAGTTAAACAAGGAAAATCCACGGTGACATGGAGAGCACCCTTTGTGTTGTTTCACAGAAGGCTTTGCATGGCTCTAATATTAACATGATGTACGCACATGTGGTAATAATGCCTCTGTTTGGGCAGGGAGGTTAAAGGCAGGCTTTACTTCTTTCTGCTTTCCTATGCTGGTTTCTTGACTACAGGATGCAAGTATTACTTGCATAACCATGTAATGAATTAAAAGTTCCTTCTACTGGGCAGGGGAGGAAACTGAAGAACGAAGAGTGGTAAAAGGGAGACTAGCAGTCCCTAAACACATCCTCGTAACTGGGCACACTGCTCACCCTGTTATCTCATCCAGTCCCCCTCATCAGGTTGCACAAGGATCCCCCGTGGCATAGGGGGCTCCAAGTCGGGCTCCTTCCTGCACACAGGTCAGCAGTTCAAAACCATTAGCTGCTCAATCCACAGGCAACACATGAGGCCGTTTGCTCTTGTAAAGATTTCCTGAAAACCCATCGTGTCAGTTCTGTGCTGTCCTGTGGGGTGGTGACGAGGGGGATTGGGTGGAGGGCAGGTCTTGGTGGTGGTGGTGCTCCCGGTAGCCCAAACAGTTTGCCCTCAACCACTAGCCTGGAAATACACAGTTTGTATCTAACCAGTGGTGGCACAAAGGAAAGGCCTGGTGATGGGCTTCTATAAAAGTTACAGCCCCCAATTCCTCTGGAGCACAACTCCACGCTGTGACACCTGGAGTCACGTAAGTCAGAATTGCCTTGGCAGCAGTGGGGATGCTGGCAAGTGTTTAACCTCCTGTAATGGAGTGGAGGAAAGGGTCTCACTTAGCATTGGACTGATGTCCATGGTGTGAAGGGCCCTCAGCCGACCAGATGCTGTCTCCGCGTGCGGAGATGCGCAGGGCCCAGCTGAGCCGGGAGCCGGTGCGAGCCACAGGCTCTCTGCAGCAGCCACGTCACAGTCCCGCTGATATGTGTGGCGCATTCAAGCCAAATGTTGAGCAGTTTAAACTGCTCATGTCATCTTGTTGCCCCTACGATTTGGGCCTTTGATTTTCTGCACTCTTGGATGTGGTTACTAGAAAAGTCCGTGAAGAAGACAATTCGGGCTTGAACAGCCTCAGTTCCATTCGTTCAACCCATAACCTTTCAGCATTTTTTATGAGAGGCACTAGCCCATGAATTGGGACTTCATAATAGTTTGCATAAACTCTGTTTTCCCCTTAACTTGCTTAGAGTTTAGCATTCAAACTGGGAGGTTCCTGCTACTCCTTTAAATGTAGTAGGATTTGCCAATCTGAACAAGGCAGGGCTCTGAGTATTTCTGGATGGAAGTAGAGAGCGTTTTCCTGTGTCTCCTACACTACCTGGTCCACTGCCGAGTGTATTGATAACATGTTCACTAGGTGGTTACTTTTGTTTTCTAATATTTGCTTCTCTCGTTCTTTACTTTTGGTCAACTTTCTTTAGTCACATGCTTCTACCACCAACTGAGTGGTGTGGGTCCCCTACCTTACTGAAAAGAATGTAAAGACACACTTGGCAGAAGCCCTTTCGTGTGTGTCATATTTCTGTCTGCACAGAACCCTTCTAGAATGACAGTGTTGCTGCAGGTAATTGGAGTCACCAAAAAATACATCTGTATCGGAATAATTTGCTTGTTTATTGAACATATTCTGGAATATCAAGGTGTACAAGATTTTCACAAAGCGTGGTTGGAATTCAAGGCAACCCCGCACTTACCTGATCATACATTGACATTCTGTTTAGACAAATGGACTTGGCCGCCTGGGAAGCAAAGATAAATTCTCAATATTAGCACAACCTAATATGTATTTTACATTACACATCATAAATACAGCATGACAAATATGTGAGCTCGTGCATGTGTGTTTGGACAGAAACTTAAATCAGTGTATTCTTTATTGAAAATATCTGGGATGTTTTAGCATAATATATTTTAGAGCTTTCAGATCTTTTACCTGATCTGCCTATTTTTTAGTTGAGGAAGCTGAGACCCAGAAAACTAAGCTCACAGCAGTGAGATTGATTTTACCTCACAGTGACCCTGTGTAGGGCAGAACAGAATGGTACCATAGAGTTTCTGAACCTTGAGCCTTTCCTGGAGCTGGCAGCCTCATCCTTCTCTGACAAAACAGCTGCCGGGTTTCAGTGGCCAGTCTGGTCATTAGCAGCCAAAGCTCAGCCCACCCCAGTGCCAGACACACACACCGAGGGAGAGTGAATTCAGGGAGACAGTCAGGATTAAAATCACGCCGCACCCCTTACAGCTCTTTGATGCACTTATCTCCTGGAACGCTAGGTGGTGATCTAACTCTGTCTTCAGACCTCAGTTTGTCCTCGCTCCTGTCTGTGACTAGCCAGGTGCACAAATGTCATGCTCCTTACCCAGAAACGCAGCCTGCTTTCGATGACAACACTGGGAAAGGCTTATTTCTCTCTAAACTAACCCATACCTAGAGGGGAAAAATCATGATTTAAAACAGAAAGCAAAATACCTAACAGTTCAGGGTTGTTCTCTAAGAATCAGGATTCATGTCTGCTCATTCCCTGCTGCCTTGTGTTGTGTCTTTTCCTGTTCCTCCTGCCAGGAGTGCCTTATGCCACTCTTGCTTGGGAACCGCCTCCCCAGCATGGTCACCTCAGCCATCTTCTGCTGGGAGCCTCCCTTCATCGGTCCATTGTCGTGGTTGTGCCCCTTTGGCCTCCTTGGCACCTTGAGCCCGAGTCTGTGGAGGTAGTTTCTATACAGTGCAGCCGGTTAGTTCAATTGCGTTCTCGTTGCACCAGAAGTGTGTTAGGTTGAGCTCGGTGGAGAAGCAGAACCAGTGACGCTTGTATATGTTTACACATAGAATGAGCTTTGTGTTGAGAAACGGTCTACACCTTTGTAAAAGCAGGTTAAGTTCTGTCCAGCGCAAGTCCGGCATCTCCTGACCTGTGGAAGCTGACAAACAGGAAGTAAGGTGACAAACTCGGTGGGGGAGGGGGGCACAAGCTGGTGGATGCAGAGTTACATGCATCTGAAGTCAGCCAAATGAACCTGCCCTTGGTCATCTGCTGAGAGCCATTGGACAAGACAGCAGGAGAGAGAGGGACCAGACACAAGAGCCAGCTCTGGCAGAAGGCGAAAGGCCAGAGAGGTTTCGACTCCAGCCAGTCTCTGTTTCACACAAAAGATCCCTAAGAAGATGTCAACAGGCTGCAGCCTGATGGATAGGCCGGGCATCACTCCAGGAGTGTCTAGTTGACACAATCCTTGGCCATTCCACCAAGATCTTACACAGCTGTCTTTGGAGCACCCAGGGGTGTGTCTTGGCTTAGAGTGAGGGCTGCGGGACGCCGTCACTGCTTGGACAGATGTTTGGGTGCACGTATAGATTGAAAAGGGAAAGCCCGTAGAGGAAAGGCAGTATGGGCAGATTGGTGTGGGGTGGAAGGGGGGGTGGGCGGTTTGCATTTCAACTGCAGAACCTGTAGCCCAGCACAGCTTACCTTTTGATCGGTTGTTCTCTTGTTCCAGGTTGTGGGCATATTTGCCGGATTCGGGCTCCTGCTGCTGGTAGCCTCACCTTTCCTGCTCCTGGCCACTCCATTTGTCCTTTGCTGTAAGTGCAAGTGCAGTAAAGGGGACGATGACCCGCTGCCCACCTAGAGACAGGCGACATGCCGGAGCGGGATCCCTGCCTCGGGAAGCACGGCTCTCCCCCGCTCCGCAGTTCTCCTCTCACGAAGCATCTCTTGCCTTATGTGCCCCACCGAGCTCCACAGTGTCACGCTGGGTGCCGTGGTTTCAGGGACGGACAGCAGAACGCTTACCAAGGCCCCGCGTGCAGTCTGCTAGGCCCCTGGAGAGCCAGGCAGGCTGTGGGCAGGCACATCCCCAGCCTGACAAGGAAGGGAGGCGCTCTGTGTTTTCTCCCCGTGGTGATAGACTGGACATGTCTCGTAGGAGCCTCCTTCTCGTGCAAAACATGGCCCCATCTCCTTACCGGCTTCAAGATGGTCTCCTGCTCTTGAGAGAAGTCCTTTAAGGATGGCAACTCACTTCAAACAGAATCTGATTATTCCAACTTGGAAAAAGCACTCTGTTTATGTCAACTGTTTTTATCTAATGGCGTTTAGCAAAATCTTTCTAGAAGGCTTCCTCCCCGTGCTCCCTCCACCCCCAATTGAGTAGTGAAAACCAACAAGGTGCATATAAACCATCCTATGCCTTTCTTGAATTTTGCATTTTAAAAAGTTATACCCGGATGACTTTTCTGGCTTGGATACTTTTTAAGAGACTTAGAAAGCCGTATGCACTCTTACTTTTCGTTTTCTTTCTTGAAACTTCTTGTAATGACTTTGGAAAGCTGTAAGTTGTGTGTTGTGATAAATGTGATTCCTGTGTAGTTGCATATCTTTGAAAACGCTGACAGGTGTGAAGGAACATCACTGTCATCGGTCTGGAATTGCTTTTTGTCATAGGGCTTGTAACTTCTCACCCAGGTACCAGCAACTTGATTTTCGAGTCTTAAAATCAGATGTTTGACATCAAAGCAGATCCACTATAGTTAGCATGATTTGGCCCTTGCCTCAGCCTCATCTTGCAGCCGGTCAGAAGAGTGTAGCATTATTGATCCTCAGAGACTGGGGACCGGAGGACTCTCAGGGGCTGGGGGAGCCTTCCTGATTTTCACCATCTTTTATTTAAATGATTTTATTATTTGCAGAAGTTATATGTGTTATATAGTTCCAAGTTTCATTGCTATTAACACCCCACCCCCCACCCCCAAAAAAAAAGCCGTCCACTTATGGTCATCCTTTTCACTTGGGGATTTGACCGCTTGGGCTCTTGCAGGGCGGGGCTGTGGGTGACTGTTCACATGGCATCAGATTGCACGAGTCAATAAGAAAACACCAATTACTCCCCCTCACTTGACTTTGAAACATGGAGAGAATGTAGTCTTTAAAGAGAGTTGACTTCACAGTGACTTTTACAGTCACGTGTGCTTTGAAAGAGCTGAGCATGGGACTTCTAAAAGCCACAGAAAGGCAAACATTTTCAACTCATTATAGAGGACTTTAAAAACTTATTAAAAATCCCACTGGTGCATCAACCAAGGGCAAAGCATAGGTATCTGCTCACTGCAAACACATTGTAAAATAAATGTTATTTTTGTTTTGTTTATCTGGTTCATTTCTGTACTTGTGTAGCTGCCTCGGGTCCTATTGTACCTTCCACATGTAGAAATGTCTTCTTTCTTTGTTTCTTAAAAATGTAATGTCTTACTTCTTTGTTTCTTAAAAATGTAGTAGGGTAGAAGAAACAGAATCACCTCACACTGCAGCCATTGTATTTCTTTTCTTTATGAAACTGAAGCTATGTAGAAAACTAGTTAGTGTCAAATCACTGCTCCTGTAGAACATGTGTCTGATCATTACAATGTAACCATTCATGAAGAGAACATGCCTGAGACTACCTTTCTGGAGGAAGCCTGGGCTGCGAGTCTCTGTGCTTAGAGACAGTGAGACGGACCCCATCTCTCGGCGGGATGACCGCTCTGCAGAGGGTGAAGACGCAAGTGGCCCGTGGACACTTGGGCTGGAGGCCTCAGCCTGTGACGCTCAACTTCAGCTGTCCGACGCGTGTCCTGTCAGTGCCTGCTGAAGATGGCGGCTCGTGGCCCTCTCTCTGGGGTGCATAGGGCAGGCTTTCACCCCGTGCCAGCATGCACTGCCTGTGGCAGCTTCTGCCCATCGCACAGCCCACAGGACACCTCTCCTGTGTTGTGGGGGTCAGGGCTCTTCGAAAGGTTGTGCTCTTTGGGCTAGAGTTCAAACCCCCTTCTTCCCAGAGGGATGGGTGGGCCTTCTGGATTGGAAGCGTCTCTGGCTCCATCGGACATGTGTAGAGCCCCCACCATCATTGTGCCTTCACCTCCTGTGTTTCAAGTGTGCAGTTTGACCTCGATAGGGACCACTGGGACCACAGAGATCACAAGGCCAAGGGCCAGAAGTCCCTCTTAGCAATCAAAATAGCAAAACAGCACCTATTTGCTCAGAGTTTTTGCATTGAGCATGCCTCAGTTTGACTTAGTGATAATACAACTAAAATCATAGCTTCATGGATAGTCACCAGCAAGACCACGATGATGTACTTAAGTACGCTTGCATTATCCCTCATGAGATTTATTTTAGAAAGGAATGCCACACCCGTTTCTCATGGTGGTATGATACTAACCATGCATGGTGTAAATAAAACACAGGAAGATGACCCTCAATGTGACTTCTGACCTTGCTATCACTCCCAAGTAAAACATGGGGAGTTTGAGATTAAACAAATGGACTTAACTACAAGAGCATCTCAATTGAAAAAGGACTTTCGTAGAGGGTTCTCACGTTGATGCTCTGGCAGTGTGCTTAGGAAGGCCTTTGAATTGAAGGCTAGAGAAGACCCTGGCTATTGGCCATGGCTATCAATCTATACTGCACTCTAGGTGGGTAATGGAAGCACCTTCGACAGTAGGCCACATCATGACTTTTTACGGGAGTTGACAGGTTCCCCAATCAGCCAAGCTTTCCAATCCCCACCCAAGGCTCTGGCTTTCACAGGAGGCAGTGTAAAACTGTAGATCCCAGTGACTGACTTCAGAGGTGTGCATAAATAAAGCCGTTGACTTGGTGAATTGCTCTCCAAACCAATTCTCGCTCCACGTGTAGGGGTAGCGTTGGGCCAGGGAGCCAACCTCGACCACGGTGGGGACTTTGGACAGTGAAACGAATCTCTGTATTGCCAATCATTCCACAAAGCTGATTGATCACCATGGTCCACTTCTGAGGGAACACAGGGTGCCCGAGGAAAGAGATTTTCAGATATATAATAGTTACTTACAGGGGAATTGACCTTTTTCATTTATATTACAAAAATGGAAAGTCACTTAAATTATAGATGACTACATATTTCCCTGGTAATCTTCCAAAATTAAGAGTTTGGAAAGAACTAGGGTGGACTCTTTGTACATTTTCCAGATTCTCATTTATCAATAAATATGTCTGTATGTATATATGTGTACACACACACACATACATATATATATATATATATATATAAATCACAGTGAAGTCATCAGGGGGAAACATTTTGCATGTGTACAGCTTCATGAAGGTCTCTAAAAAATATACCAAAGCTTATTATTTTTTCTAATTAATTCAAACCCCTGTGAAGATAAACAAAATGAGGAGATCACGACTGGTATTGCCCGAAGTGCCAGTCAGATCGAAGCGTCCTGGGTGACAATATAATTGCAAATGCCTCACAAGCAGAAGAGCATGCTGTTTTGGTATTGAAATCCCATGGCCTGCCCTCCCCTTCTGATTTCTGTAATCCTGTCTTCCATGATTCCAGGGGCCTTCACTTAGTTTAGGGGTAGGTACATGCTATATGCCCGAAGCTTTCTTTTATACTTCACTCACTTTACCATGGGTGTATTTTAATCCTGTATAAGCATACGCGCATGAATGAGTCATGCACATGTATACACACGTATTTGACAAGTGGTGGTAAACAAAACAAAACAAATTTCGTCTGTGTTTTTGAAATGTCAGTACATTTTGTGCCACTAACACTGTGATGTATAAAGGAGCTGTTTGAATGCCTTTTCACGTGTTTTGTACTTTGGAATCATATGGAAAAGTTTAATTTGTAATTCCAATACATATTTTAAATCTATTGTGGCTTATGTAGTTTGTTCACCCCATTAGAAGGGATTTCTTTTTAAATCTGTTTTGGCTGGAATACAGGTTACTTTTTTAAACCCTGTTTGTCTCTATCTTTTGTAGATGATCAGTCGACTACTGGTTTGAAGATCTTATGAGTTAAGAGTGGCACATGGAAATGGTGGGGGAGGAGTGGGATTGTCTATCACTGGGAAAACAGATTTTGTGTTCTGAGATTTTTCTTTGTCAGGGGTGTTCTTAAGTCCAGATTGACAAGATTATTTGGACCACTCAGTAAGCTAGTGCACCCTTCATGTTGATGATGCCAAGCCAGGGAGGCAGCCCCGGAGCGCCTGCTCTCTGGGTGCTTGGCCTCCATCTGCAAAGACAAGTTATATATCGACTTTCCAAATTTTATAAAGCAGATTTCTGAGGCATTTGATTTAAAAACATATCAGTATTTGTTCCTTTTTTCTATTGGGGGAAAGGATAGGATAAAAATGGATACTGTTGGTTCAATAAGTGAAGGAGTTGCTAGATTGCTGTCCTACAGCTCCACTATGACTCATAATGACTCGGTACAATGGAACACAGTCGTGTGCCACCCTCACAGTCATTGGCATGGGCAATAGTAGTCATCTTATTGTTAGAATATTGTACTCTAATTTTCATTCATCATCTAAATTTTATGAGAATATGCATACCTAATTCATTAACATGCTTCAAAAGGTGAGGCACCCCTTACAACCGTGACGTCGATGGGACTCAGAGCAGCCCCACAGGAGAGCACAGACCTGTCTCTGTGGGTTCCCAGGGCGTGAGTCTTTATGCCACAAAGAGCAAGCACCCTGCTTCTCCTCGGAGAACAACTGGTTGTATAACTCATTGCAATGTTGGGGTTCAGAAGATCATGAACAGCAACTAGGTATTTGTTTTGTGAGTTAATGTCAAATAAATACTGTAAATGAAAACCACCTTAGTATCTTACATTACACATTGCATGAGCGGTTGATGAACTGGTTATTTATTGCTAACTTATTTGCAGATTGTTGATTCTGAGGTCTCAACATGCCTGCTCTTAATGAGCTAGCTCATTGTAAATAAATAAAAAAGTAAGTACTAAACACTGCCAATTGAGTCAATTTGTCTCACTCATGACTACAGGGCAAGGAATAACTGGCCCTGAGAGTTTCTTCACCTTAACTCTGTAAGGGGTAGAAAGTTCATCTTTCTCCCACAGAACTGCTGGTGGTTTTGAAAAGCTGACCTTGTGGTTAGCATCCCAATACGTGACCACTATGTCACCAAGACTTCTAGTATAAGTAGGAGGCAGATAGGTAAGTCAACAACAAAGTATGAGGATTGCTTTGATAGGTCCTCTGATCAGGAAGAGGGCACCAGCACATCCCCCAGATGAGAAGGTCAGAGAAATCTGTCCAGACGCTGTGGTCCATTAGCTGGATTTGATGGGTGAGCAGGGTTAGCCAGGCAAAAACCAGGAAGTTCAACTGTTAAGAAATGCAAGTAGTGTGTGGTCTGACTAGTATGTTTGGGTTGGTGAGTTACTCAAGTGTCTGCCCTAAAGAGTCGCAATGTGTTAAGCTCGGGAATTTAACCTGCATTCTAAAGGTCGTGGGGCCCATAGTCCATGGGTGGGCAATCCTGTCAACATGCGGCCAAACAGAAGGAAAGGGGGAACTTTGGCTCCATTCAGTTGTCTGATGGTGTTTCTCATGGTGGAGGTTTGAGAACTTCTCTTGCTGAAAAATCAAACAAACTCTGCCATGCAGTCCCGTTCGACCCATAGTGACCCAGCAGGACAGGGTAGAACTGCCCCTATGAGGTTTCCAGACTCTTTAGGGGAGTAGAAAGCCTCATCTTTCTCCTGTGAAGCTGATGGTGGTTTTGAAATGGTGACCTTTTGGTTAGCAGCCTGCCACACCACCAGGATTCTGAAACTTCCTATGAAACCTGCTGCTGTTGTGTTAGCTCTGACTCATAGTCAGCCCATAGGAGAGGGCAGAACTGCCCCAGAGCATTTTCTGAGGCTGTAAGGTTTACGGAAACAGATGCTCACATCTTCCACCCACAGAGCAGCTAGTGGGTGCAAACCACAGACCAAGTGCTTTGCCACAGGCTTCTAAAGTCCTCTAGAGCCCTGAAAATAGTCCTGAAAAACTGAGTTGGATCTTAATTCTTTGAGATAAACTGGAATTGGAAACAGAACCAGAGGATGCCCTGCTGAGAAATGGTCATTTTTAAGCTAAAACAAAACCAACAACCCCAAACCCTGACCTTGAATTGATTGCAACTATAAGAGCAGGACTGCTCCTTTGGTCTTTCAAGTTTTTAAATCTTGATTAGAACAGCCAGCTTCATCTTTCTCCGAGGGGCTGGTGGGTATGACCTCTAACCTTGTGGATAATTGCCAACACTTAACTCATTATGCTGCCAGAGTTATATGTATATACGGGCACTAGCATTTGCTTCCAAAAGTTTATCTGTTGGCACTTACCAACATCAAAGACTCTTAGAGGAATCCAAACTATAGGGCACCAAAGAATGGACTTTTACTGACTCTCATAGAATGTGAACATGTGCAAGGTCATCCTGAAAGTTGACCTTTGAAGACGATAAGGGAGAATGTAACAGAAGGCATGGCCAAACTTGTAACAAGTGTCCAACGCTTACTTGGACTAAACCAGTGAGTGATTCAACCACTTAAAAATAGGAAACACTGTTCATTACTTGCTTCTTACAAATGACTCTTCCCTTTCTAAGATCACCCAGGGTATGCATTGAAGGCGGGGAACAGGGCAATTGGAGATGGCCTCTGAGGTCCAGATAGCCTGTCCTTTTCCTGTTTCACCCTACAGACACACAAAGGAACATTCCATAGCAGCGTGTTCTCGAACCCATGCCCTGTTCTTGGGAGTAGTTTAAACACTGAAGAAAGTATCATGTGAAGCAAAAAGACACTTGCCGACCCATTTTCAAGCCCAGTGAATGAATTATTGTGAGAAATCGCCCCCAGCATATAGGAGGAGGCAGTCATTACCTGAAGGCACACATACCCTCGGGGTGACCAAGCTCAGCAGCACCAAGTCACCACACCATGAGCTCTTGGGTGTGTCTAGACAGCCACAGACGGAAGACGATGCTCACCGAGAGGAAACACTGCATTTTCTGCCACTTTCTGTGCAGAGAAGTTTGGATTCATGAAGGGAAATATTGCCACAATGCTTCAATTTATATGTGAGGAAAACTCGTGTTCAGAATCACTGGAGTCTTGTTGAATAACAAAAACCCATCAAAGTTTCAGAGCCATGGCCCAAACCTTTATTTTGTGGAAACAAAACACAGCATGTCGCCCCAAAGTCACCTTGGGGGTAAGAACTGACTAACGGTGTCCCAGGAGACTTCCTTTGGAAAGCATTTACAAAGATAATAGGATAGGGAGTAGGCATGCTTGAAATTCAAGGATTAACAACTTTGGAAACTGTTCCCCTGACAGCAATGTATTTCATGGGAAAACATCACTTGGAACTCAAAGGATGTCATCTCCAAATCATCGCACAATAAATTTGAGGAGCTAGGATGAATTGAAAATCACAGACGTCATGTCAGCAAGTGCATACTCACCCAATTCTAGAAATGCGATTCGCTTTAACCTAAGATCAAGTATGATTACAGACATGGTGGCTACCACACAGCTCCCTTGGGTGCTGTTGACTAGTCCCTAGACACTCGTTATGACAAGCAATGACACCAAAAGACACAAAGCTTTTCTCGTCTTTGTCCCTGTGGGCCTCAAGGTCTAGTGGGAGTTAGGGAGTGGAGACAAACCGCAGTCATTTATGGAATAAACGTGTAAGGCCCATGAGAAGGCAGAGGACAAAGACTAAGCTGGAGAGAGAGGTGAGGCCAGGGAAGGCTTCACCGGCAGGATTCTCTCCTGGAATTTTGAAAGGCCGAGGAGCTGAAATTGTTAGCAGAGGGTGACAAAAAAGGAAGAACAAAACACAGAGGTGTGAAAGTGCAGGGTTTTCAGGAAAATCACAAGTAGTATCTGAATATAACTGATCATTTTCTTCCTTGGATAGAAAATGAACTTTTCCTATGGTAGAAGTACAGAGGAGATATAAATTCTTCGTCGATGGCAAGCATGTTAGTAAGGAATGGTAGATAAACAGAACTTGACTTTCAAGAGAGGACACTTCTCAAGTTTTTGTTTACTGATTCCTACTGGCACATAAGATCCCCAAAATGACTTCCTTGTAATGCACAAAGGGTGTAAAAAAGACCAAACACCAACTGCACTCAGTGACTTGAGAGGTTTCCAGTGAAAAGACAATTGTACTTAGAGCTGAATCTATTTCTGTATTCTGAACAATTCCTAATACATTGTTGGTGCACAATGAATTCTAAATAATAATTTAATGTTTTTATTAATGACAAAGGAGCAATCAGTATGTTAATGAAACTTGCCGATAGTACTAAACTGGGAGTTAAGACAAACACCAATTAGGAGAAGTAGACAATGAGGAAGGACAAAAAACGAGGGAAAGTTAAAACAAAGCAAGTTTCTGCTTTGCAAAACACAAGCAAATGCACCTGCAGAAAATGCACACTGTAGGGACCCTGGAAGGCAAGCTGAACCCAGCCTCACAAGGAAAGCAATTCCAGTGCCAATGGCTGTTGGGAATGCCAGATGCTGAGTGTGTGATGGAAAATGGTAACGGGGCAGAGGACAATCGTCTTACTTTTCCAGTTGAAAATGCATGTTTTACTTGTTGCCTTGGTTTGGTTGCAGTTAAAAATAAGACATTACTCATTTAAGGATACGTTGCTCTCCGTTGGGAATGTGAATTCACTAGTGAGTCAGACTTGGCTCTCTGTGTTCCACTTACTATTCACTGGCTTAGTTCACTGGCCCTCTTCTCTCTTGTGGCCTCTCATCGGGCATCTTGCTTTTCCGTCTTGTTTCCAATCCCTTCTCTTCTGCTATAATGG